GATTTACTTCTAAACAGACTTGCACAGGATTACAGATTGGGTATGTTGTGTCCTGGGCCTGTTGAGGAAACTCAGCAGGCCCAGAAAGGTTGCAAATGGTCCCGGGCATTGTAAAAGCTGCCCAGGACCAGACAGAGTGGCATTAGTCTTGTGCGCATGCGCAAGGCGTGAAAACGCTGCGTTCCTATTGGTTAGCATTGACTGGGTTCCTGACCCTATAAAAGGCCTGCGTGCCTTTTGCTCTTTGCTTGGAGTTGGAGAAGGAGAATAAAGAGCTATTGTTTCCACCATGCGTCTTCGTCAATTGATTGCGAACCGAAAACACAACAGGGTATGTATAACATTCCTATTTTGGCTACTGAATTTCACCAAACAGGAAACCAAATTAATCAGGCTGAGTTCACACCATGTCCTTAGCCAGAGAAATCGCTAATATTAAAACTAATCAAACGTAGTAAATTATGTGAAAACAGCACTTGGTACTAGCTGTCTGGTTAAGCCATTGTCTTCCTCCATCCTCTGGGCAGCCCAGGCTAGAAATGCATACAGCTTTTTAAAAAATGAAACATCCTTTGAATGTCTCTATGATTTGTAGTCCAAAATTGCAAGAGAGAGGTGGAAAGAATCAATCAGAGAGTGAAACTTCAAATTACAAAGTACCCCTAAAATCAGGACTGCAAATCCTAAGAATCTCTTCTCCCAAATTTTTAAACAGATGTGGAACAAATATTTCATGATTTCTCTGTCTGCTAAATTACAATTAAATAGGAATCATGAAAATATTTGACTGTTCCTCATCTGGATTAGATTAAATTAAATTGTATTTATCTTTCCTCTGTCTTTATGTAACTCTATTCTTGGAAATTAACCTACCAAAGTCAAGTGTCACTCCTGCCCAGATAATGCTATGAGCCTCTGGGATAGAAAAATGAAAAAGTACAAATACAAGTTTCTTTTATTTTTTTAAGTTCTCATCCCATTCAGGAATGTTACAGATAAAAAGGACTATATATATATTTAATATTTAAGTTTTTAAAAACTTTGCATTGTGGAAATTTATATATAACTAGCTGTACCCGGCCACGCGGGTACATTCCTGCCAATGAATTATTACAGTGCTAAGGAGGAAGCAGAAGTTTCTTCTTTCCTCTTAACATAATTGCAAGAGGTTTTACTCAAAGGGAAAACAAAGTGGGGCTTAAAAAAAGCAGTATTTTTCAACTTCAGCAGCTTTAAAACTATAAGTTTCAACTCCCAGAATTCCCCAGCCAGTTTTAGGGAACAGGAGTGGGGCTGAAGTAGGGAGGGTGCTGAAGTTACTCACTTATACCCAGCTCCTAGATTGCAGATAGAAGGTGCATCTACACATCTTTCTTGTTTAACATCAAGATGTCCACAAGTTGTAATGGGTCATTCCTCCCAATGATTGGTGAAGTGGCCAAGGCACCAGGCTAGAAACCAGGAAACTGTGAGTTCTAGACCTGTCACAGGCATGAAAGCCAGCTGGGTGATTTTGGGCCAATCACCCTCTCTCAGCCCATGATGTCAGATTCAGGAGACAAGCTGGTCAGTCCAATTCCTGTTGCAACCAATGAATCAATACTTGGTTGATCCAAAAAAGTATATCCTGCACTTGGAAGGAAACATTAGGAGATAAAATCCAGAGACACAATAACACTAAAGTCTTTCTGGTTTGGTTTGTCTGTTTTATTATATACCAAACCAGCTCTTCTAATCTCTCAGACAGATTTTTGCTTTGGGACAATGAGTCTTCTGTTTCCCCAAGACTTTTGCCTGTTGATCTGGAATAATGATGGGGTTATTGGACTATCAAGCTCCTGGATAGCTCTGTCTGCAGAAGGGTGCATTCAATTATAAGAATTAAGCCCAATTGGATCCATTCTATTATATACAAAGATAATAATTATTGCTTGAACTGCTAACTTGCCTCAGCTGAGGTTCAGGAAAGTGCTGGGTAGTTGATTTTCCCGAAGTAGGTGAATCTTGGTGGAAAGAGAAAGTAAAACAGAAAATCTACTAGTTTCAATCTGGAAACTACCCCACCTTAAATTGTATGATACTGACTGGTAGGGGCATCAGAGGAAGGGGACAAAAAAAAATCAAAATGGTGCCTATGGCCATCCTTGTTCAGCATATGTAAAAGGAGCAGCCATGGCCATATAGTGCCTTTAAAAAAAAAACTTCCCATGAAATACCTCTGGTCTCCTTGCAGAGGCATAGTAAAGATGGTTTATGAGGTCAGCACAATTTCTATTACTGCATTTTCCTCCAAGTTCCAAGATGAAAGGAAAACACATTAATATGGCTGTAAGGAAGAGCCCTGAAGAATACAATTTACCTGGACCCAGCCTTTTCCTTTGAATAACATGCATTGCATCTCTTTAAATTGCACTGTTATGGAAAATTGTAAATTAAAATTTCCTTAGGATTGTTTCCTTAAGGATGTTTTCCTGTTCACCATCCCACCCTGAATTCTCAGCCAGTTCTTCAAGTCTGATCTAACTTAGCTTCTGAGATGAGATGATTGAAGGACAACCATATCTTCTGGCAAAAGTGTGACCTCCTTCTTGCTGGGAGTCACTTCTGGGCAAAACCTACATTCCACCACTCTGCTTCCATCCACGTTAGATGCATCTCCAGTCATTCTTGACTATGTTGGCTGGGGATAATAACAGTTGGAGTCCAGCAGCACCTAGAAGCTACCAAGTTCTCTAATCTTGCCCTGATAGAACTAAACCTTGTCAAATGACCTAGTAAAACAGGAAGCTGAACAGGAAGTTTCTCTCTTCAAATACTGAGTTCTCAGCTCTAGGTCTCTCCCCCCCTCCCCTCCCCAAAAGTTTTCTTTGGGGAAATATTCCTAAGTGTTGGATGCTTAGATAGCAGAAAAAACAGCTGCTTTCTTCAGCAAGCAGTCCATAGGATCAGCAAGGAACTATATTCTGTCCTGTTTTTGAAGGGCAAAAGGGGATATAGATGTTCCAGGGGAGCATCAGCACCAGACTAACTTTTGACCTAACCATCAACACAGGGATTAATGTAGCACAGTGCCCAATACTGAGTTATTTCTGGCTTGCTTTTCACATTTTTAACCATTAGCATTATGGGTATTTACTGCACTACTTACTTCCACTGTATTTTTTCATATCCTTGGATATGCAAAGGACAAATAAAAATAGAATGTTGAATAGACCTATTACAAGGTGATTTCTTGCCTAATTAAGAAGGAATGTCAACACAACAGCCAGAGAGCTGTTTTATCCATTATTTGAATGATGTGGGAAACAGGCAATGTTAGAATTCTGGATTATGCCACTTAAGAATGCAGATTGGTGGTGAAGGTTAGTATTGTTTTTTGAATGTAGCCATGTGTATATAATAGATTAGATAGATAGAGAGTTATGATAAAGTTCTTATGTATATACAATTAAACTTTTAAATTTGTTTTTCACAACTTGACAGACAGGAGATAAAGTATAGGCAAAGACAATAAAGAATCACTTTCAGAGCAAAATGGTTGGCATATAAATTTAATAAATAAATAAATAAATAAACAACCAACCAACAGGCTGTTGTTTCCTAGCTAAATCTGAGAATGGTCTCCAAAATTATAGTGATCTTTGGACATATGTCATATGGATACCACATATAAACAAGCAACAGAACTTGAATTATATAGCTGCCATCTTGACTTTTTTGACCACCCTGGATGCTCCTCCTGAATCCTCTCCAATTAGCATAGGGAATGCTAAACTAAATGAACCAATGTTTCACTTGATATTAGATTCAGATGCTTTTTAGTGCTGAAACAAATTGCTTTGGGAGGCAATCAGTGTGCAAAACAGAATATAAGAAATAGTAAAATGGCAGCAGCAACAAGTTTTAAATTTTCTTTTTTTTAATGGGCAAAGAATGATTACTCAGTGGCAGAACAGAAATTCTGCTTCAGGCAGGCCTGGCGGTGTTGGGAAAGCTGCAGATCCTCAGCTTCCCACAAAAATGACTTAGAACAGTATTTCTCAACCTTGGCAACTTTAAGATGTGTGGACTTCAATTCCCAGAATTCCCCAGCCAGCATGTCCGGCCAGTCCCTAGAGATGAGAGGGTATTTAAAGCAGGATCAACAGTAACATCCCAAAGGTGCTGTTTCAAAAGGCAGCTGGTCTTTGTTTTTCCTTGAAGACGTTTCGCTTCTCATCCAAGAAGCTTCTTCAGTTCTTTTGAAAAAACACCTTTGGGACAATCATGATCTCAGTCGAGAATCTCCATAGACATCAAGAGTAAAGGTTTGTAATGAAATTCCTGCCCCATAGTCCTCACCTTGCCAAGTTGAGTGGCAACTGGCCAGGTTTTGAAAGAAGGCTTGAAGTGAAAGGGAGCAGAAACCTTAACACAGCTGGAAGTCTTGCTAAACAACCTTCTTGGGAAGAATTGACTCCTGTTCCAGATGTGAGTAGAAATCCCACATTTTAAATCTAGCTGCTCAATATGGAAACCAAAGAATCAACCCGTAGGGGGATATATATAGAGATAGTCAGGAGATGGCTGCCATATGCAACTCCAGACCTTTAAATGATTTTTCATAGCGTATTAAGAACTTTTGCCCTCAATTGCATTTTCAGATCCTTCCACACCATCAAAAAATAATAACGCCCATTGGTTCCTTAATCTACGAGTGGATGACCTTGATCTGTCTTCCGGTTAATCAAGACCATTAATAGCAATAGCATTAGCAATAGCACTTAGACTTATATACTGCCCCATAATGCTTTACAGCACTCTCTGGATAGTTACAACATCAGCATTTTGCCCTCAATAATCTGGGTCATCATTCTACCAACCTCACAAGGATGGAAGGCTGAGTCAATTAATTAAACAGATGGGATTCATGAATTGGGCACCCAGTCACAGGAGAAACAAAAGAGAGCTCTAGAGAGAACTGAATGGGTTCCCTTGTCTGATCCTAAACACTTACTTACCCAATGATGTAGGTAAGGACTACCAGCTGGATCACCCGGAAGGTTAAGCCCACCTTCTTGTTGTGCACCAAAACCATCCTTGGGGTGTCATATTCAAATAGAAATGAGGATATTTTTTCTGTGAATTTATGGCCCATAAGGAATAGTTGATGTGGTTTCTTTGATGGCTGCAGACAAAAGTCTTCTGATGGTTGATTCTCCCAAAGTTTGTCTTTCTCACGTTCTGCTAATCTTTGACTTCTCAGCAGGCTCTGTTGTCTTACCCTGAGTAAGCAACAGCAAAAAGTCCTTTCTCTTTCTGGGTGTAGTAGTTTACTTTACATCTCCTTAGATGGTCTGGGGGTGGGACGGGGTGTGTTTACCAAGTGGAGGCAGCCACAAAACACCACCCAAGAACAGCTGAACAGGAAAGATTCATTTTTGCATCCTGCTTTGGACAATTATAGAATGGAGTGATGACTCCAAAGGTTAGAATGGTTTTTATAATTGACAACCTCTGTGTGTTTCACAAATTAAAATAGGAAAAGCTTCTAGTGTCCCAAGTCTATTACACCTCAGGGCTTAACACTTTACTTTGCTCAGAAGGAGTTTGGGGTTTGGGGTTAAAATGCAATTCAAATCTCTAAACTGCCAGAAAAACATGGCCTAAAATCAAGCTTCCAGATCCACAAAGCTTTAGATAACCATTGGATGGCAAGCAAAGCCTACCTTACAAGGTGGTTGTGAGGATTAAATGCAAAAAGGGGAGATATCAGGAATGTTACCTCAAGGTCTTTGCAGGAAAAGCCAGGTAAAAATTAAAAAAGTAAATATGAAATATTTGTTTTATTATGCGAAATCTAAATGGAACAAGATCTGGACTCTGCCTTCACAGGACAAACTGTAGTTTAACAGTAAAATACTGTCTATGTGTTTTTGATTTCTTTGCCATATATGATATGCCATATGCTAAACTGTCTATGTGGAATTTAATTCAATGTAGAATTTAATTGTCTCCATCAGATTTATTTCCCAGCAAGTATAGATAGGATTTAATGACAACCAATGCAGATAAAATAGACCAGAGGAAGTATGCAACTTCCTGCGTTTCTTATTTAAAGCAACCATTTATTCAAACACATGAGTACTAGAGTCTTGCTTTTAAAGTAAACTGAGCAATAGAGCACATTTTTTCTGAAAGTTTCTAGTTTTAGACCATGGTGCTGCCAGATTGAAAAAAAGAAGAATATTAGTTGACAGGTGGTGGACAGAGTCTCTGTTGATACAGGGCAGGTCCTTTGGATTCCTTTGTTATCAGCAAGGTCTTGCAGTGCATGTTTGTGGGAAAAGAATTAACTGAAAGATCACATTGTAGAATCTTCATACACACACACACACACACACACACACACACACACACACACACACACACGCAGATGGCCCTAGATAAATTTTAAATTTTGGCAAATTTAAAACACGTGTACTTCAATTCCCAGAATTCTCTAGTCAGCATGGCTTACTGGAGAATTCTGGGAATTGGTCCACCTGTCTCAAAATTTCCAAGGTTGAGAAACAACCTTGGTAGAGAATTGAATTTTCATTCATACCGGTAGTAACACCAAAAAATCTGCAGACACACAAAACAGAAATAGCTTGAAAAAAAAAGCAATATATGTAACTGTTAACTGCAGGCGAGAAAGTGAATTGTTTTCATTTGTTTATAGTTAATTTTGGTCAACGGCCATATTTTCTGGGGACACAGAATGTGTGTGTGTGTGTGTGTGTGTGTGAGTGAGTGAGAGAGAGAGAGAGAGAGAGAGAGAGAGAGAGAGAGAGAGACCATGAGAACGTGGGATCAGGATCCAAAGCTCCACTTATTTGTCCATCTTTTCTCTTCTCTCTGAGTCTTGCTGGGTTTTGTAATACCCTTTTCTTGGGCAAGATATTTAAAGAGAAACTTGAAGGCAGGCAAGTCCCATCATTCTTAAATGAGTTTCAGGATCTGATCCTCACTGGACGCGATTTCAGGCCTGATGTTATTTTTATTTTTAAATTTTAATTATTTTATTTTTCTGTTACATGAGAGGAACAATTACGCCAAACAGGCTTTTAGAATTATTTTTTAAAAAACTATCCCTTACATTGAGCATCGTAACCCCTGGGTGTTATAATGTTTTCCTCCTCAGACTCTACAAACTTTTTCTACAATATTAAGAAATCTCAGCAGCAAACAAGAAAGTGAACTAAAGCCAGAGGTTGGTTGCAAATGAAAATGAAATTAAGGCTGGGGAAGAGAAGAAGAATAGAAGATGGAAATCATATAATTTATAGTGAGATCCCTCACATGTCTATTCAGAAAGAAGTCCCATCAATTTCAATGAGACTTAATTTCAATTCAGTGGGTACAGAATTGCAACTTGAATTAGTTAATCTATTTTACTAACAGCTCTTTGCCTGGAAAAATGTCTTCTAATCTGTGGTGGGACCATGTGTATATTCCCACTGAGATGTTTGCAGGTGTTCTTTTTTCACATTTTATAAGTCTATAGTTGAGCATCACCTTGTTGTCTTTTGGGCTCAGAGAAATTTCAGGATGGTGGGGACAAAGGCATGATGGAAGAAGCCCCACCTTCTTTTTATGTGTACATGCACATGAAAAAGGTGGGATTTGAGCATAGCTTTTTTTTCTTGACTTGTCCCTCCTACAGGTGTTCTTGTAAGGTGATTCCCTGTTTGGGCTTAATCGTGTCTTTCCTTTGACCTGACACATGGCAGTCATGTTGTAACTTGGTATAGTTTTGGAACTGCCCTTAAGAGCAATCCCATGTGCAGGCCATTGTGGTAGTCTAAGTGAAAATTAGAAAAGTGTGGATAATTGTGAGTAGGCCACTCTTAGCTAGATTTCAACAACAACAAATCTTGTTGAACAACTCCATAGCAGATGCTGTTGGGGTAGGCATGAATGTTTGAGTTAACCTACTCCAACTCATATACGGTACAGTATTTTATGCTGAGGCTATAGGGTTAATCAGCGAAGGAACTATGATGTGTTTCCCAATAAGAATAAGCTGGACAAGATCATGGATTCAGTTACATAAGAGACTGCATTTTTACCATAAGCCTTGCAGTTAAATTTAGATGCCCTGTTTTTCTGATTGTCACAACTTTGGCATGGTGGTCTACTCAATCTTCCTTAGAAGGCTGCATTTTGTACAATTCATGTTTTCACTTGGCTAGAGTTTCCTTTAGAAAGTCTGCCTTGATCCCTAGATTATAAATGATGGTTATCAGGTTCTGCAGAGTCTATATTTGGTAGGCGATCTGATAGTTATTAGATATTCTTTCAAGTTTAGGGGCCTGACCAGTGTCACGAGAGACTGATTGATCTCTTGAATCTCTCCTTCTTCATCACTTTTCCTTCATGCCTCATCCAAATCCAATCATTTGGAAATGTATTTCCAATGTCTGCTCTTTCCCATACTATCCCACATCTCCTGAATGTATTCTATGGGATAGGAGGCCCAGAGTGGGGGTTGGAATCTAAGATCTAAATGGATTTGTTCAGCTCCTTTACGGATTTAGATGGATATGCTTAAATGTAGAACTGTTGCTATGCAAAGAGCCAAATAAGCAACAAAACTCTGGTATGTCAATTGTCCTTAATCAATGTGCTGTTCTTGGGCTTAAAGGTATTCATAAAGACATTGTCTTTGCTAATCCTATCTTTTGTTTACGGCTTTCTGTGAGTAGATGTTTTCAATTAACATAAGAGAATTTGAGGTAAAAGGATCCTTTTCTCTCCCTCTTGGGGGTTTCAGTGTTGTTTTGTTCATCGTGACTGCTCATTGTAGTATATTCTTTGACATCTAGTGTTTAAAAAGAAGACAAATCGATTAGGAGTCTTACTGGTTATATGTAATCAAATATTTGGAGTTTATGATAACTTTTTTTAATGATGTAAGAGCAAAGTCCTAACGTGGACTGAGAGAACTTAACAACTATGGGGATATGAGGAGAAACTCATTTCCTAGGATAAACTGTTTTAACAAACCATCTTCTATTACTCAATTCAGCCCTTCTTTTGGATTTCCCCCCTCTTTTATTGAATTATTAATAATAATCAAATATTTAATTAGATTTATTATCTATTATTCTGTTATTCTTTCTATGATCATGTGTATACATCCCATTAAGCCCCAAAAAAGTCTGGAATGGTTTAGGATCTCCTGCCATGAGCAGGAAGTTGGACTAGAAGACCTTCAAGCTCCCTTCCCACCCTATTATTTTATGTTCTATGAATCCTAGTATGGTGAGTCCACTGGATGAGTCCATGGGAGTTCACTGGAGTTGGGCGATCAATAAATTTAAATAAATACTATTAATATTTTTAATAAATTGATTGTAGGAGGAGAGACATGTTAAGTCTGCTGGCAAAAAAATGAGGACACTAGGTGCATGTTTATCACAAAAATATTCTTTTTAATATGTTTAATGTTAGTAGGAAAAGGTGTGATCAGACTTTTGAATTTTTACTAAGATGTTTATGATTCGTGTTGCATATATTACTAGCTGTTGGAAGTCTCCTTTGGAGTTTGTTGTTTGAATTTACAAGTATTTGCTATAAATGCTCAGATTTTGCTGAAGCAACCTTGTTGGCCTCCAACTTATAATCTGTTTATCAATTTTATTTTTTTTGCTGCTGAATCCCACTTCTTATTATACTTCTGTTGAATATATGTTTCTGACAGTGTGGATTTTAAATATAATATGAAAATGAAGAACTGTTTTGTTTATATTGCTAAGTGCTATCAGTGACCGGTATGTAAAATGAATTTGTTTCAAAAATTGGGAGGTAAAGAACACCATTATTTTAATTGTCTTAAGTTACCACATGCGTGGCTTCTAATAATTTTATTAAATTTTGCAAAGTGTACACATAAAAATGACACAAGCTAGCAATCAAGAGAAAAGATAAAGAGTAAAAAGAAAATAGAAGTGCAAAGAGGTATAAAGAAAAATAAAGGAGAATATTTGTAGCTCAGGGTTGAAATTAGGGGTCCTTGGTGCTCTCTGAGCTTGGTTGTTTCCTTCAGTTTCATACCCAAACTAGGCAACATTATCCGTGCTAATAAGGAGTGGGATTTGCTCTCAGTTTAAATTCTAGTGGCTTTGCCCTGGGGTAGTAGTAGTAGTAGTAGTAGTAGTAGTAGTAATAATAATAATAATAATAATAATAATAATAATAAT